GGCATCAAGAGGATGCAGGACTTAATTTGATATGCTGAAGTAAAAATCAAGGACGCTAATTTAAAGATTAAAGATTGTCAATGGCTGTAAAGCTTGCCAACTCACTAATGCAGTGCCAAATATTAGAAACCCAGGAATCAGACTTCAAGGGAGAAAACCTGGAGCTTTTTGAGACAGGGTCTCCCTGTAGCCCCAGCTGTCCTGGAATTCACTATGTAGACCAGGCTAGCCTTGAACTCAGAGATCCGCCTGCCTCTGCCTCCCAAGTGCTGGGATTAAAGGTGGGCACCACCATGCCCAGCCTAGTATTTATATTTTTATCTGTATGAGTGTATTGCCTGCATGTATGTAAGCGCACTCATGCCCTGCAATACCCAAGGAGGTCAGAAGAGGGAGTTGGATCCTCTAGAACTGGAGTTAAGAATGTTAGCTGCCATGTGGGAATTGAACCTGGGTCCTCTGTAAGAGCAGCCAGTGCTCTTAACCTCTGAGTCATCTCTCCAGCCCCTTGTTTTTAAAGATATATTCTTACTCTGTAGCCCAGACTCACCTAGAATTCATGATAATTCTCCTGCCTCAGCCTCTTTAGTGCTGGTATTACAGGCATAAGCCACCACATCTGGCCTCTATTACCTCTATTACATAATTCATTCAGAAAACAAAATGCAAGCCTACTTTCCTCTATTTATTATAATTATAAAATGCACAGCTTATGAAGTATGTGGGAAAGTTCCAACAGTTTAAAAGCAGAGCATATACTCCACTCCTCATCTCTTAGTGGAAGCCAAGTTTGACTTGTCTTTCCACATTTTTACCTTACTCACATATACCTCTGCAACTTGCTGCTGCCCATTTTACAGTAAGTACAGCCCCATATCACTTGCTATGCCCGACTCATTCTTCTTAGTGGTTACATCTTACTCCATTCTACAGATATACCACACAGTATGCTATCTGTTTTTTATCATTACAGTAGGCTAAAAACAGTCTTACCTATTCCTTTCCAACAAGATCCTAAAGGCCTGGTTGATAAAGCCTGTGAATGTTATGTTACTATGGCAGTCTCTGTAGATGATGAAGTTAATGGTCTTGAGATGGTCAGAAAACCCTAATTCTCCAGATGAATCCAAAATGTAATGACATTTACCCTCTTTATGGAAGAGGGAGGCAGAGGGAAACACAAACGTGAAGACTTAAGAGTAACTCTGAAGATGCTGGCTTTAAAAATGACATGGACACAAGTTGAAGAATGGTAGCAGCAACCATAAGCTGGAATAGGAAATCAAAGTCCCCCTCTCCAGAGTTCATCCTGAGAGACCTGAGTGACTCCATCTTCAATAAAACATCCATGGGACTGACCCAGCCCTGAGCCCTGTTCCAAGAAAAACCACAATACTTGGAACGGATAGAGAACAACTGCCCTGCCAATGGTCAATTAACCAGGGACAGGAAAGTACTAAAAGTCCAGATGTCTTTTCAGATTTCCTGAAGCCAGCAGTTTATGGTTTGGCACTGGCCTGCAACCAATCAGGTGCTTGCCAGGCTGGAGACCCCCTATTTGCTGAACTTGCTAAAATAAACCTATAAAAACCTCTGTCTCCCAAAGCAAGGGGTCTCACATCTGAGATCCACTGAGTTGGTGACAGGGTGGGCCCAAGCTTGAGCCTGCAATAATAAAAGAACCCTTGTGTGTTTGCATTGGTCAGCTCCTTGGTGGTCTTTGGGGTCGGCTCCTTGGGGTCTTGCGAACTGGGCACAACACACCCATGTTGTACAATGCCTGTGGAGTTCAGAGAGGGCATAGGATTCCCTGGAATTTGAGTTACAGATGGCTGTTAAGTAAGTGCTGGGAAGTGAATCTGGATCCTCTGCGAGAGCAGCCAGTATTCTTAACCACTGAGCCATCTTTCCAAACCACAAAGTTATTTTATTTTATTTTTTATTCCAAAGAGAGGCAATTTTAACACATTTTCCAGAAATAATTTGAAGCAGGTTACATAAAAGTATATATACAATGAAGTTAAGGGGAGGGGAATAGGAATAAGAAATCAAAGACAAAAGGATTTTCCAACATGAGGTCAACTTTGGTGGAATAGTGAAGGTTTCCATTAGCTCTGTTCCTTTTTTTTTTCTTTTTTTGGAAAATCCTAATGATTTTATTGGGCTTGCTAACAGCGCATAGGGTGGGGGTTTATTTACAGAATAGTGGGCACCCCCCTATTTATTGCTGCGCTGCAAAGTCCACACTCAAATATAGATCCTGTGACTTCCTGAGAGGTGCCTCATGGCATTCTTGGCTTATATATCCTTAGCACCTCCCCCACATGAAGCTAAGGCCACTGATTGGGTGGGAGGGATAACTGACTCCCCTATCGATGCCTTGATGAGTGTGGGAAGGATTTGTGACTATAGCTTGTCAGCACAGTGGTCAGAGGACACTTCCAGGTAACACTCCACCCCTTCCTCCAGCTCTTACATTCTTTCTGCCAACCTCTTCTGCAAAAGTCCCTGAGCCTTGGAGGGGGTGGTAGGTGTGGGCTGATCTTCTTCCCATTGTGTCAAGGTACCAAACTTTAGGGTCTCTCTGTTTTCCATGGGCTGTTGGCTCATTTCAGTGGAATCCATCTATTCTAAAAACACAAACAGCAAGAAGCAAGAACATCTAAACAGTGACTACTATAATAACTTATTATATGGGCATATACAAAAATGCTTGGATGGAACTTTAGCAGGTGTGTAACATCCATCTAATAAAACAATTGCAGTCACTTCTCCACTGTGGCCTATATCCTCCCTTGCCACAGGGCGTTGGCATGATCTACAGTATCAGATGTGTGTTCCACCTCTAGGAGCAGACATTATATCCAATAAAAAATTTTCTGGTTGTACATACACTAGACACACCACTATTGCACCATCTGGAACACCTTGTTTGGCATGTTGATAGTGTAGCATGTGGGGATTTGTTGTTGAGTAGAATTATAGGGGCTAGTTCTCCCCCAGCCATCTGCATATCGACTTCTAGCACTATGAAAGCCACCCATCCAGTAGCAAGGAGTTTCCAGCTTAGTCCAAGCTTGGTTTTTCCCTCTCCTGCACTCATATCATGCATGTCTTCAGCAATAGGGTTTTACCATCCATTTACAGTGTACAACCAGTATTATTGGCAATGCCCTTTATTGTTTTGGGGACTTCTAGAGCCCCTTTGGCCAACAGCTCATAGGGGGCAGCTCATGAACTCACAGAGATCTGCCTGCCTCTGCTGGGATTAAAGGCATGCACCACCACACCTGGCCCCAGAGTTAATTTTAAACAAGTCCATTAGGGGCTTTGGAGATGGCTCAGTCCAAGCTTGCTGATTAAACATGAAGGACTATGTTCAAGTCCTCAGAACCCACATAAAAAGCTAGGCATGGCCATTCATACTTCTGTAACCCAGTACTGTGGGGACAGAAACAGGAAGATCGCTGGGGCTTGTTGGCCACCAGCCTAGCTTCAAATTCAGCTAGAGAACTTGTCTCAAAGGAAGAAGGTGGTGCAGGGGGTTTGAACCAGTGACCCCCGTGCAGTGATGATTGGGGATGAGTAAGCGTGCCGTACTGGGGACAGACGCGATGGGGAGCCTAGTCAAGCAGGGACTCATTTATTGCAGGTGTTACAGATCTTATAAAGGCATCTGGAAATCCCCCCTCCCCCCTGCGGTTGTAGCTTAAGGATGGTCACGCACTGATCATGCACTCCTCAGCAGTGTGGAAGTGTCCTTCAGACTTTTAAAACAAGTCAGGCTGCCCCAGTAACTTCCTCATGGACCTCTGCAAGGTGGGGCTTTTAGGTCCCCACCGGGGGAGTGATGGATCAGGGCACACTCCACCACATGCCCACACAGCACACACACCACACACATACACCACATACCACTACTTTAGTGATTAGTTTAATAAGTATTTGGGGGCTGGAGAGATGGCTCAGTGGTTAAGAACACTGGTTGTTCTTGCAGAAGACCGGGGTTTGAATTCCAGCACCCACATGGCAGCTAACAGCTGTCTAACTCCAGTCCCAGGGGATCTGACAGCCTCTTTTGACCTCCATGGGCATTGCACGACCTTGTGCACTTACCTCATGCAGGCAATACACGCACACACATAAAATAAAAATAGCAAATAAAATAAATTTAATAAGTAGATTTGTAAAATTTGCCAAATAGACTAAGTGGCTTTCATAAATGATTTTTGCATGTTTCATGTAGCTAGTGGGAAATATATTTAGATAAAATAAATTTTTAAAAGATTTATTTAATTTCTAATTAATGTGTCTGTGTCTGTGTTGGGGTATGTACATGTGAATGCAGGTGCCTGCTGAGGCCAGAAGAGGGTGTTGGATTCCTTGGAAATGGCATTACAAGTCATTGTGAACTGCCAGATGTGGATGCTAGGAGTTGAACTTGGGTCCGCTACAAGAGCAGTACCTGCTTTTAACTGTTCAGCTATCTCCCACTCCATAAAATACATTTTAAACTTAAACTGAAAAGTAGAAAAATATAATTTAATATGAATTTACATATATCCTTCAATTAAATATTAATTAAAACTGTAATTGAGCCAAGTGCAGTGGCACACACCTTTAATCCTAGCACTTGAGAGGCAGAGGCAGGCCCTTCTCTGAGATTGAGGCCAACCTGTTCTACATAGCAAGTTCCAGGCAAGCTGGAGCTACAGGGAGATCCTGTTTCAAAAAAAAAAAAAAAAAAACACACACACACACACACAATAAAATAACCCCCACAAATGTATATAATTGATATGTTAAAAATGGAATGTATGGGTTGGGCATGTAGCTCAGTGGTAGAGCAGTTGGTTAGCTTGTTGATAGATCTCAGCACCACCAACACAAAGCAACACAACACAAAAACAAAAACAACAGCAACAGTAGTTGTGTGGCTGTCACAAACACAGAATCACCTGTTTCGCACCTAATTCAATTCTTTTTTAAAAAATTTTCAGGAAATCCAACAATTGGAATTTTGAAATACAAAGAAAACTATTACACTTTCAATACCAGAGATGCTGCATATTCATTCGCAGAAAATCCTGAACATTATATTGATCTAATTAAAGAAAAGGCCAAAAAGAATGCAGAATTAATTCAGCTACTGGAACTTCATCAACAGTTTGAAACTCTCATTCCATATTCTCAGGTAAATACTATTACCTGGGTTTGTAATTTCTGACAGTTTGCCTAGTTAAAGTGATATGTCAGTATTGCTTATTGTACATTTTCTGACAGTGAAATTCAGCATCTTTTTATTTTACTGATTTTTTTACTGTGTGTGGTATGTGTCGTTTGAGGTTTGTGTGTGTGTGTGTGTGTGTGCCTGTGTGTGGTGTGGTGTGTATGTGGTGTGTTGTATGTGTGGTATGGTGTGTGTTGTGTATGAGTGTAGTGTGTGTGTGTCTGTGGTATGGTGTGTGTTGTGTATGTGCATATTGTGTGTGGTTTGTGTATGTGTGTGGTGTGTGTATGGTATGGTATAGTATATGAATGAGTATTGTGTGTGGTATGGGACATATAGTGTGTAGTGTAGTATGTGTGGTGTGGTGTATGTGTGTGTTGTGTATGTGTATGATGTGTATATGTGATGTGTGGTGTGTGTGTGTGGTGTGTGTGTGTGGTGTGATGTGTATGGTGTGTGTGTATGTGGTGTGTACGTGGTAAATGTGGTGTGTGTTTTCTATATGTGTGTGGTATGGGATATATAGTGTGTGGTGTGGTGTGTGTATGTGTGTGTGTGTGTGTGTGTGTGTGTGTGTGTGGCATGGTGTGTGTGGTGTATGTGCACAGAGGAGGACAGCAGGACTTCAGGAGTCTTCCTCTTTTGCTCTTGACTTCTTTCTTTCTTTTTTTTAGATTTTTTTGAGACAAGGTCTCCTTATGTAGCCCTGGCTGGCCTGGAATTTTCAAAGATCTGCTTGCTTCTGCCTCCTGAGGATGGGGATTAAAAGAGTGCGCCACCACACCTGGCTTTGACCTTATTTTTTGAGACAGTTTTTCATTGACCAAAAGTTCACTGTTTTGGCTAGGCTGACAGACCAGTAAACTCTGCAGCTCCATCTGCCCTGCCCAAATGCTGGGGTTACAGGCATTCGTGGCAATGTCCAGCTTTTATGTAGGTGCTGGGGACTTGAACTCCAGGTCCTCTTGTTTCGCAGCAAGCACTTTTACCCAGTTAATACCATCTAGGGGTGCAAGAACTGGTTTGGTTTTTGCTGCCAATTAAATAATTAAAAGACAGGAAAGAAGTATTACTGGAATCTTGGGGAGTCCTAGGTAATTAATTGGCCTGCTTTCCTGGGGTTTTAGAAGCTCAAGAACAATTTTTATTAGAATTTAAAAGGCAAACTCTTGGTCAGGCAAACTGTAAATCTGGAAGAAGTGCCAGGAGGAAGAAAATGGAGAAGATGACCACAGAAGTCAGCCACATGATGACAGATAGCCACACAGCAAGGGTGGGGGTGGATGGGGTGGGGTGGGAAGCTTTAGAAAAAGAGCAAGGACTGTTCTTGGTTCAGTCTTCCAGTGCTGTGATGACAGGTTTGTGCCACTCTGCACTGGCTTCGGTGTCTCTGCTGACATGATTTATTCATTCAGGTTTCCCATCTGTACATCAGCTATTTATGACATAACTTTTGCCATAATTTTTTTCTGTATTATTTCAATTGTTAATTGGCAATTCTTTGTTTATTCTAAATATTATTTAAGGGACTGGCGAGATGGCTCAGCAGTTAAGAACACTTGCTATTCTTCCAGAGACTCGGGTTCAAGTCCCAGCACCCACAGGGCAGCTAACAATCCATAATTCCAGTTCCTTTAGTCTATATAACAAGTTCCAGGCCAGCTGGGGCTACAGGGGGAGTCTGTATCAAAACAACCCCCTCCAAATGTATCCTTCCTTAATATGCATGCCCTCCAGCATATACGACATCACCTCTAAATTACGTAAAATACCTGTTACAATGTAAATACTATGTAAATTGTGCTATATTGCAGTGCTTGGGCAATAGTGACAAAGAAAAATTCTGTACATACTCAGTTCTTGTGCAACTTTTCCTGATGAATGTGAACGACTGTCTCTTCACTTCAGATAGGTCACCAACAACAGACCAAAATAATGGATTCTACCTGAGTTTAGCTTGGTGAATGAATGGGCCTATTGTAATTACTTACTGGAGTGTAGGTGAGGGTTACTTACAGAAGAATAGGTGCTTCAAAGGCAGCTGTGTCACCAAAAAGCCCACTCCAGTTTGGCTGACAACTCAAAAGCTACATCACTGGAGCTCCCTGCACAACTTGAGTCAGCTCCACTGGACATTCTTTTCTCCATCTGCTCTTTACTGCTTTTATGACCTTGGAGAGGGCTCTTATGGGTTTTCAACTTCCTGAGCCTTGTAAGTTTCATTAGCTGCCTGGGTTTTAAGAACTTCCCTCCAGGAAATAGTTGTACAACTTTCTAACCTTCCTCTAGCTTTTACATTCTTTCTTCAATCCCCTCTTCTTCAATGTAACCTGAGCCTTGTAGGGAATGTATAGTTCTTTTTCATTTGTGTCTGAATATTGGTCCATTATACTATAGCAACAGTCATGTTGTTGTCGTCGTTGTCATCATCATCATCATCATCATCATCATCATCATTGTCGTTACTCTTGAGAGAGGTCTCACTATGTAAACTCTGTTGGTCTAGAACTCATTAGATAGGCCCAGGTGGCCTTGAACTTACCCACCATAATTGGCTTAGTCACTTGTTCTTAATTTGACCAGTTATGAGCCTCTGCAGCAATCATTACCCACTGCAAAAAAAGGTTTTTCTTTTTTGACAGTATCAGTAATATATGGACATAAACACAAATGTGTAGAAGATATTTTGACAAGCACACCATATCCATTTAACAAATCAAAAGCAGTTGTTTCCCCTTAGCCACAGGCTTTTGCCCTGGCTTAGTTACAATACCAGATGTGAATTCTTTCCAGTGAAGTGGAACTGAAAGCCAATTGGAAAGCAGATAGTTGTACCCATAGCTTTTGTGCCACTACTGCACCAGAAGGCACATCTTGCCTGGCATTTTGGTACTGTAGCAGGCAAGGTTCATTACTGAGGACTGTTGGTGATAGTTCTCCCCTAGCAGCTTGCATAGCACCTTCTGGCACTACAAAGGGCAAGTAACAGAGAGGGAGTTTTCAGCTCTGTTGTGGCCTGATTTCACCATGGTCTGAACTCACAAGGTGTGGTGCCTTTGACAATAAGGTCTTACTATCTAGTTTGGCATGCAACTAATAGCAGTCACAATAACCTTAATGGTTTGTGGAGCTTTTGGAGCCCTTCCTGGCCAACAATTCATAGGGAGATAGCCCCCTTCTAGTGCTGGAATTTTCATTCAACAACCTTGTCTGGGAATGCTTTTTTCCACCAATTCATGGTGCCTTTCTTTATGCCCTTTGACTGCTGTTTTTATTCTTCTTCCAGATGCTTTTCCAACTCTGTGACACTCAAAGTTTAGCATTGTATAATAAAATCTTTTTCTATAGAGGGTGAGCAGTATCTCTGAAGGCCCACCATTGTCCCTACCAAACAAACATCATTTGGTCTTGGCTGGCTAAAAGGAGATACTAAAGAAGAAGCAATAGCATTGTCCATTGCAGCATGAAAAATTCCATAATTTCATGTCAATTGTTTGGCAAAAGAGCAATGTTGGGTACAGTGGAATGAATAGGAGAGCACTTTCCACATCTCAACTCCATAGCCCATAGTGCACTTCCCTGAGCCATCCAACCTTCTCATCCTTGGTGCTGCTGCTGTGGGGCCACTCTACCTTTCTCCACCCCCAGTGATCTTAATGGAGCAAACTTGCACTGTTTGGCCCAGCTCAGGTGCAAGGGGGAGCAGGGCTGCGATTTAGCTTACTGTGCCTGCCTTGGAACTGGCTCCCTGGTTCCAGGCAGCACCATAACCCTTGCCTTTACATCACTGGCTGCTGATAGGACCCTGAGCTAGGCAAACAATCTTCACTTCAGTATAGTTTCTTGTAGGAGAGAAATGTACACTACATACTCTATAGAAATAACTTTCCACTCCTACAGCAAGCTTAATCCTTTTTTTTCCTTGTACTGTTTTACCATTTATGTCTTCTATGAACTGTTGCACAGGCTTTAAAACCTTCTAGAAGCTCACTAGCCTAGTATTTGGTGATCTCCTTTGGGAGGGGGCCTGTGAGTCTTGTAACTTTGTGAGCTTCCGAAGCCTTTTAAGTTTGACTAACTTGCTGAGCCTCATGAACATTCTCCAGGAGGGAATGTTTTGGATGAAGTAGCTGCCCAACATCAGCACAGGTTTTTATTCCTCTTTTGGGTGAATCCATAGGCACAAGATCCACAGATAGAATGCCAGCTGTATATTTTATCATCTGATAAAGAAGCCCTCCTCTTTGTTATTTTTCAAATGTCTCCATGTAATATTCTTAATGAATTTACAAAGTCCCTGCCCCCCTGCAAAAAAAAAAAAGTATCTTCCTGGGTTTAAAACTGGAATTGCTAATGAAAGACTCAATTTCAATTTTTTCCCATTTGTAGAAAAATTGTCCTGAATCATTTGTTCATCACTAGTCTCTCCTGTTTTCTCATGATCTACTATTGTTTAAATAGTCATAGGCTTGTTTAAGGGCTCTCTGTTCTGCTTAGTTACTCAATTTTAAAACAGTTCCTATACTGATAATGTGATAGCTCTATATAGTCTTGATATCTGTTGGAGTATGTTTTCTCTAAAAAGTCTTCACTGTCCTTCACTCTTTAATCTTATACAAAATTGAGAAGTCCATTGTCAGATTCCATTAAAGGCCCTTAAAGATCCTGACTGAAATAGCCTTGTGTGTAGATATAGCACAGTTTTATCTTATTTCTCTCTTCCTCAACCTCACTGTACTTTTAGTTTTATGACTTTTTCTAGAAATGACTTGTAAATCTTTTGCTAAACTTATTTGTAGGGGCTTTATGTTTTTTGCTATTGTCTTCACATGGTGTGGATATTTTAGAATTGAATTTGTTTTATTTCTTATATATGGAAATGAGTTTAGCTTTGTATACTGATTTCATATTCCGAAACCTTACCAAACACTCTTGCTAATTCCATTATTTGAAGTAGGATCATT